GGAAAGGGGAGGTAGAGGGAATAGGGGGAAGGAGGAGATGGAGGGGGCAGGGGAGAGGAGGAGATGGAGGGAGGGAACAAATGAAAAGGGAAAGAGGTAGAGGGAGAGGAGGAGGAAGAATAAGAAATAAGAGCGAAAAAGAGGAACAGAGGGACATATGGGATGAAGAGGGAGAGGGAGACAGAGACAATACGTTCATCAAAGAATAAAAATATAAATAAATAAGTGAAAAACATCTTTTGAACTGTTCTTTATCTTTTTTTCCAAATAAGCAATTAAAACAAGGACTTCTTTCATGAACGTAAGGCTCCTGTTGACATCACGTATCAAATCTACAAGTACTTCACAGCCAAAACGGAGAATATGTACGACTTTAATGCTTAGTTTATGTACACTATTAAACATCTCTCTCCAATATTCTGCGGTCGACTGCAACTGAACTACATTATCTAATTATTTAAATACGATCTAAAACACTCAATCTATTCTACAAAACACGAAGATAAACGCCATAACAATACTTTTTATTTCAGTATTTTTTAAATATTTCTAAATTACAAGTGAATCTCACACGGCAAAGGTGAACAACTCAGTACTTTGCGGACAAGATACGCTACTCGGTTCCTTATCCAAGCACACTCCCCGCCACCAACAGAGGATTGGATACCGTAAACGCCGCCAGTTCATAATGTCTATATGGTACTTTCGTCTATAGATCAGGAGAAAACCAAAGAAAACGGGAAAAAAAAGAAAGTACAGGTGAGACACACACACACAAAAAGGAAATATAAAATAGAAATAGAAAATGGGAAGACCCAGAGTCCGTTTTGTCAGTTTGAACAAAAAACGAAATAGATGCAAAGTCATAATAAAAAAAAAACATATAGTTCTCTTGGTCTGTGATTATTACAATTATTTTTTTAAACTGAAATACATCGAGTATTTAGAAGAGATTGTGCAGTGTTGAAAGTAGTGTTTTGAAGTTAAACCCTCCCTCACTTTATCATTATTATTATTATTATTGAGAAGTCGTCGAGAGCACGTTTGATATTGGTATTTATATGCATACAGAGAAAAAAAATTACCTTGAAATATAATTAGCTATGTCGACTTCTCAACGTAAAAGGTTTTATTTAGAGTAATTCTTGTGCTACATATCAATTTTTGCGGTGAAATATGATTTATTGTTTATCAAGCAATGTAGAGGGATAGAGGAAAATAAGTATTGATTCACCAAAATGAATAGATTCAATTGAAGAAGAGAGAGAGAGTGAGAAAGAAAGAGAGAAAGAGAGAGAGAGAGAGAGAGAGAGAGAGAGAGAGAGAGAGAGAGAGAGAGAGAGAGAGAGAGAGAGAGAGAGAGAGAGAGAAGAAAGAAAGAAAGAAAGAAAGAAAGAAAGAAAGAAAGAGAGAGAGAGAGAGAGAGAGAGAGAGGCGAAGAAGAAAGAAGGAAGAGAAGAGAAGAGAGAGAGAGAGAGAGAGAATTTTAACAAACATAAAACAGTAGAAGAAACATAAACATCTTAGACTTTACTGAGTTATCCACAAGATACAAAAATCCCATCTATCTATAGTGTACACAAGGGTGCTTTTAAAGTGTAAATGAAGCTGTGTTTGGGGTTGGGGGGTCTCAACATAGAAAACGGCTCCAACCTGAGACTTCTGGGTAGACTGCAGCAAATTACTCTTACCCTTGGGATATGCTTCAATATCCCATGTGTGTGTTTTGTTTCTTTGGGGGATTACAACTTTAGTATTTATGTTTTATATACTTATATTTTGTTTTTCTTTAACTACGTATATCAGGTCTGTAGAATGATCATAAAACCCTTAAAATATATTTACGTTAACTGAATATAATGCTAATATATATATTTTTTAATATAAATATTCTACTTATAATTATCATTATCTTACTTATATTTATACATACCATCAATATATTTACAATTTTCTCATTATGATAATCACAATTAAGATCATTATCATAAATCAACATCAAAACTAACCTAAGAAATTACTAATATTAAATATCTTTTTAACATGCTAAGGAATAAATGTTTTATGGGTGAAAATGTCTATTTTGTTTCTAAAAAAAATTATATATGTATGCAAGTTTGACCAAATTGATTATTGTTTAATTTTTCTTTTATATAAATTGTTGAGTAAAGTCAGAAGGACGTATTTGTCACGTCTGTTTGTTTGTTTGTTTGTTTTGTGTCTTGTGAAATGTCTTCGGTTTGGTCATGTCTTGTTTTTTTCTTTTTTTCTTGTTTTCTTTTCTTCGTATATTAAGAATGGGAATGTCAGTGATTACGTAATGTAATAGTTCTATGTCAGTTTTCTTTTTTTCAAACAAGTCATTAAAAAAAAGGCAAGAAACACATTAGGGATAACTTAAATGAACGAAATCGTTATACCTAAGAATGAAATAATCCTTTAAGATATATAAACTATATGATATAAGCTAAAAACTTTTTAAAAAATGAAGAATAATCTAAAAGAAAATCTTGAAAACGAGTTCCTTACCTCCGCCAATACCGGAGCCACCACCACTACCTCCTCCGATTCCATTTCCTCCTCCGCCGCCTCCGATTCCTCCTCCGCCGCCTCCAATTCCCCCGCCGCCGCCTCCAATTCCTCCTCCACCGCCTCCAATTCCCCCGCCGCCTCCAGTTCCTCCACCGCCTCCGATTCCTCCTCCACCGCCTCCGATTCCTCCACCGCCGCCTCCGATTCCTCCACCGCCGCCTCCGATTCCTCCACCACCGCCTCCGATTCCTCCACCGCCGCCTCCAATTCCCCCGCCGCCGCCTCCAGTTCCTCCTCCTCCTCCACCACTTCCTCCGCCAAGGCAGTCTCTCTCGAAGTAGATGGTGCCCGGACGGTTCTGTTTGGCATCTTCCCCTCCGCCGGAAACTGCATGAAGCGTTTGTGGAGTTAGAAAACGTTTCAGAATTCGACTATTTGATTATTACTTCATTTATATGATGTACCTGTCTATTAATCAATTTATCTATTCATCAGAAACAAATAATCAACAAATAAAACAGTCCTAACCCTTTACCTCACATCAAAAACAAGTAAAAGAATAAATGGATAAAATAATGCAATATTTTACTTCCTCATTTATTCAGCTATTTATTAAGAAACAAGTAAATAAATGCATAAGTGTTTCAAATAATGAAAAATAAACCACAAACGAACTTACTTGTATCATCTCCAGACAGGAAGCACTGAGATCCAGTTGGTCTGAAGGCGAGGGAGCGGCAGTTGAAAGATCTGTAATTAGTACATTCTCTCTGGCACTGTAACTCCGACACTACATTCTCAACAGTGACATCCAGGTACGTCGGGTAGGCACTCTCGGAGCGTTGGTATGGACAGGTATCATCCGCTGTGAAAAAAAGAGGTAGGTGTTAACTGAACTGGGATTTTGCATTACATTTTGTTTACTATATTTTTTCCTGGCGTTGCTTATGGTTGGTATTCTTGAAATGTTTTAGTATTCTTATCATTTCGGCTTATATATATATATATTGTTGTCTTTAGATTATCAGTAGTATGGTCATTTATTAAGGATATGATATTATTTGATGTTTCTTATATTCATTATCATCCAACTTGATCATTATCACCCCATCATCACTATCAATGTAATCACCATCATCACCACCACCCTCATCCTTGTCCACCTACTCACCAGGGACGCACTGGTTCTCGAGGTACTCCACCGTCGGCGACACAGAATCCACGAAGTCTAGTGGAGACGACCTCCTGTCCCTCCTGCTCAGACGACAGGTGAGTTCCGTGTTATCGTACTCCGCGGATCGGCACTGGAAGGCGGTCTCTTGCAGGCAGCGCTGAAGAAGGGAGGAGGAAAGGGCGGAGGGGAGGAGGTTAGTTTATGATTTTCTTTTTATTGATGGAGTAATGAGGAAATGGGTTGAAAGGAGAGATGAGTGGTTAATTTGTGATTGTATGTATAAATATGTACATATGTATATTATATAATATATAAATAGAGAGAGAAATAGAAGGAGGGGAGGTGCATTAGTTTAGAAAGGAAGGGAGGAGGGAAAGGGAGATGGAGAAAATTTACCTGATGTGTGATTCTACACACACGGAAACGCGATCAAAGATTAACTGAAACACATATGTAATACTAGGGTTTTAGCTCCTGATGACGAGACAACTCAACCCGAAACGTCATGATGTAATGTTCCTTATAGTCACTATTACATCCAACTCGTGACGAAAAGAAAATAGAATAAAAGGAGGATGAGTAGGAGGCGAAGGGAGAATTGGAAGAAGGGAAGGAGGGAGGGAAGCAAGAAGAAAATGAAGGTTAGATAATAATGAAGACGAAAAGGATGAATCTGTAGGAAGAAAAAGGTTATGAATTTAGGGGGAAAATATAATGATAGAAAATGAGAGAAGGGGAAGAGGAGAGGAAATAAATCAAAACAGAAAGAGAAAAGGATTAATGTCACAACAAATTACCTTCACATATCTAATTACAAACAATTTCATTTTTTCTTCTATTTTTCAGTTCTAAGGCAGACAAGATTCCCTTTCCTCTTCCCTTTTATTTTGTCTTTATTATTTTTTTTTACCGAGACACCATTTGTCCTTTCCCTCTTCCCGTCACAACAGTTTGGTATCTAGCACATTTATTAATATACCTTTTTCCCATTAACTTATCAAAACAAACCAATCAAATTCACATTTATCTTATCTATTAATCTATATTTTAATCATTAACCCATCTCACCAAACAGATGCCTAGCGCATTTATCTATCTATTTTGACCAACCATAACAAGCAAACAAAAACAAAAACAGATAAACGAAAAAACAAAAAAAAACAAAAAAGAATCAAAAGCAGGACTCACCTCGATACAATCCCTACGACTCTGGACGAGATTGTAAACCTGGTCGTCCAATCCACGTAGTTCTTTCCCAATCACGCGCTCGAAGTGCCACGTGCTCCCTCGACACTGGGCGGGCAAGGTCGCTGGAGGAACACGGGGCATGAGTGAATGACATAGATAAACGTAATAAGGGGGATGGCTTGGCAGTTGGATGGGAAATGGAGAAATATTCGATAATGTAGGGGTGAAGAAAATAGAAGAGGAGAAAATAGATAGCATGGCGGATGAATGGGAAATACAGAGATATTGGATAATGTAGGAGTTGAAGAAAACAGAAGAGAATAATGTAGATAATATGGGAGAAGAAAGGGAAATAGAGAAATGTAGAAATGTAGAATGTGGGAGATGAAGAAAATAGATAACATGGCAGATGAACGGGAAATACAGAAATATATAATATTTTATAATGTGGGAGATGGAAAAGGAACAGAAGAGAACACGTGGGAAAAAAACTCAGCAACTTGGCAGATGAACGTGAAACACAGAAATATAGAATAGTGCAGAATGTGAAGATGAAGAAACTGACATGAGAGGACAACGAAACGAAAGAAGGGTGAAGAACGTGGCAAATGAATGTGGAATACATTACACGTGAGAGAAATGTAGAACGTAATAGATGACAAAGAGAACGCTCTAGAACAAAATATTTAACAAAAAAAACGGCAAAGAACACAGCTTATTGAAACGTAATATATGTAAACAATAATATACTAAATTAACATAGACCACAAGAAAACAAAACTAAAAAAAGTGCTCACACGAGATAAAAAAAATATCAAGAAACAAACAAACCAACACTTCTGCCTCATATCACCCCCCACCCCACCCCAAGCCAATAACCCCCTCAGACAAAAAAAAACATACAAAAAGAAAACAAAAAAAGATAACATGATCCCTGATCCTCACCTCTGACGCAGGTCTTCTCAAAGTAACTCTTCCCCGGGGACTCGACAATATCTTGAATTCGTCCTTGAGTGTTACGGTCGAGTTTGAAGCAGCGGGTGTTGATGTAGTCGACGGCAAAGGCAGGGCACTCGCCTGAGTCGTCCATGCATTGCCGTGCGCATTTCTGGGGACGGGATGCGGAGGGTAGAGTTAGAGAAGGGAGAAGTGGTTAAGGAAGGAGAAGGGAGGGAATTTGGTAAAGAGGGAGAGAGGAAATACGGGAAATAAGATACATAACTCTCAATGGGTATTTCAAACTAGAAAACACACACACAAAAAATATATAAAACCAAAGTCTAATGATACCAAGACAGTCCACGCGCAAATAACGTGTGACGTCACGAGACCTGTCCATTTTCTGTAATATTTGAAATTTCCTCTGGTAGAAAACAAATGAAGTTTTCCTTCCGTTAATATTTTCCCTTAAGAAACACACAGACACTACATTTCTTAATCCCTTTTTCCCAATTTTATTTCGAACTTCCCATAAATAAATGAACAAAAAAAGGAAACTTAAAAATATCTGAAATTCTTACAATATCTTACTCGACACCGATAACCTATGACCTAAAATAGACAGAATTATACCAATAGACTTTGATTCTACTATACTACTATCGACTTTGACCTCGCCTGACCTCTGAAATGCCTCCTGGAGAAGCGTCGAGGTTATAGAGTGATTCCCTCGCTGTCCTCACGGTCTGACCTGTGATTTTCTCGTAGATGATCGTGCCCTGGTCGCGCTCGCACTGACCTGGTAGGAGAGGAGGTCAGGTCAGGAGGTGAAAGGTTAATATCTAAGGAATATGGAGTATATGATTCTTAAATTATCTTTATTGATGTTTTGATTCATTTTATTTTGATGTTAATATTTTGATTTCGTTCGTATAGATATTAACTAACTTAAATTCTGTTATTGTTGTGTTGCATTTTATTTCACAATTATTAGTTCATTATAATCCTTATTTTCATTTTTAATTCTTTAAAAGATGGACTTTATATGTCGACATGTATGATGTAATGTCTATATGCGTATATGAGGGTAAGTGTGTATATGTGTTTATTTGCCTGCGACTTTGTGAGTGTGCATATGTGTGCGCGTGTACGTGTACGTGTACGTGCATGCATATGCATGTGCGTGTACGTGTACGTGTATACATATGTAAGTGTGTATGCGAACGTGAATATCTGTAGCTAAATCATCGCTGTTTTACTACACACAGGTAGACCCATGTACGTGTCTGTTGGAAGCCTTGTGTACAATTACTTACTGACTGTACACTGCTTCTCTCCTGTCACAACTCCCGCCTTGATGGGCAAAACAGTCTTGTTGAGAGACACTGAATCATCGCCAGAGAGATAACACCTGCAAAGAAAATATCAATTTCTGTCATCCGAGAGATAATTAGAAACAAAAGAAAAAAGAAGAGAGAGAGAGAGAGAGAGATAAATATATAGATATATATTTCCACTTATCATTCCTTCTTTTTACGAAAGATTTGTTCAGTTTCTGAAATGAAACTTTGGACGCTAAATCCCTACAAATTAGAATTATTTATCACATTCACGCGCTCACCCACTCACTCACTCACACACTCAACTCACTCACACACTCACTCAATCATACACTCAATTCACTCACCCACTCACTCAATCTCTCACTCACTCACACACTCACTCACTCACTCATACACTTAATTCATTCACACACTCAACTCACTCATTCACTCACTCACTCACTCATACACTCAATTCACTCACACACTCAACTCACTCACTCACCCACTCACTCAATCTTTCAATCTCTCACTCACACACTCACCCATTCACTCAATCTCTCACTCACTCAATCTCTCACTCACTCAATCCCTCACTCACTCACTCAATTCCCCTCAAATCTTACACTCACTCACTCACATACTCACTCAACTCACTCACTCACTCAATTCCCCTCAAATCTCACAAACTCACTCACACACTCAACTCACTCAACTCCCCGCAAATCTCACTCATACACACTCAACTCACCCATTCATTCACTCACTCACTCATACACTCAACTCACTCACACACTCAATTCACTCAACCCCCCGCAAATCTCACTCACCTCTTCTCCCTAGAATCGAACGTATACGACCGACACGTCATGAACCTCGTCTTGTCACAAAGGCTCTGGCAGTCGTTCTGAACGTTCGCGAATTCCAGCGAGTCCATCGAAATCACCATCACGTCATTTTGCACGTCGTAGCGGCAGTCGGGGAGAGCTGGGGGGTGGGGGGAGGGGAGGGGATGAGATGGTTAGTGGTTGAATAGTGGTTAAAGTAGGTGGTGGTTGTTTGAGTGGTTTATAGTTAAAAGCGTGTAGGGTTTGGTGGTTCGAGTGGGTGGTTGTTTGGGTGGTTTAGTTCAGAGTGTGTAGGGTTTAGTGGTTAGAGTGGTTAGCGAAATACATATCACGGTGTTTCCATATATGGGTTTTATTAAATGAAAATAAAGTTCTACTCTCCTAATATTAAACTACACTAAACATGACTAAACGCAAGTTCGCTGGTTATACAAAAACAAAAAAGAAAGTTAACCCAAATAAAACAAAATGAACTATCACATCTATAAAACCAAAAAAAAGCATTAAAGACAATGAAAAAAATCAAAATAAGAAAGATATAAAAACTCACAACTCACACTTTACCACTAATTCGAAATCCCTATAAAACAAAATATAGCATAACAATAACAAAATACATTAAACCAAACAAACAAAAAAGAAAACTAAAAAAAATAATGGAATAACTCACATCGAACACACTGGTTCTCCAAATAGTCGACGGCGGATCCTGGCGCAGAAATGAAATCGGTAGGTCGGGTCCGTCTGTCCTCTTTGCTCAGCTGGCAGAGTTTCCTGATCTTGTCATATTCGGCGGATCTGTGAGAAGGGAGGGAAGAGTGTGTGTGGATTCCGAGTCTTGGGTGTGGATATTTCTAGGGTTTGGGAAGTAAAGGAAAATTGAATTGATCTGGACGGTACTGTTTCAGAAGAGGGTGAATCGGTGAAGCAAAGTAAGCAAGGATAGAGGTAAACAACAGAAGCAATACTAATAACAAAAACATCTCCACCCTCACCCGCCCCCCACCCTTAACCCTTACCTGCAAGTGAACTCCGTTTCAGCCAATCAGAACTCTCATAAAGGAAAACTGATTTAATCCCAACTGAATCGATCACCCCCCAAAAAATTAAAAAAAAAAAATCAACCAAAACAAACATGATGACAGCGCTAGCAACACCCCCACCTCCCCCTCCCTTCACCCCAACAACAACAACAACAACAACCCTTACCTGCAAGTGAACTCCGTCTCAACCAGGCAGAACTTCATGCAATCAGCCCTACTATCGACATTGGGAATGGTCTTGTTATCGAAACCATCCAGGTAGGCATCTAACACGCGCTCGAAGGCCCACAGTCTCTCTTGGCCGCACAGCTGATTGTAGTCGACTGGGGGGAGGAGAGAGAGAGATAGTGGAATAGATAATGGAGTTAATTTGAGCTATTGGCTTAAATGGGATGGTGAGATAGTGGGGTTAATAATCAATCTAGGTTATGCTAATTGGCTTAAATGGGACGGTTAGATAGTGGGGTTAGTTTGAATTATATTAATTGGGCTAAATGGGATAGTGAGATTAACTGGAATGGCGTCAGTTGGGTTGAGGGTAAATTGGATTATGGTGAGATGATAAGGATAAACTAAGATACGGTGAGGTTCATTGTATTTGATTAACAAGGAGAATGAAGACGATTATTTGCGAGAATTGGCGTGTTACAGAAATGGCCCAATTAAAACGGCTGGAACGGGCTAACTGGAATGACTGGAATGGAGAATAATGATGATAGTGCGATAAAGAGTAATAGTCTGATAGGAATGGCACAGGAATAACTGATAAAAATGTTTACGTGGAATGAGTTAACGGGAATGGTTCGGGAAGACATGACGATTGTGTGGAATTGGAATGGATAATTAGGAATAACTGGAATGGCTGGGGAGAGGACTTACGATGTGATTAATGGCCAATTAGGTATCATTGGAATAACTAAGGAAATTAATGGCAATGTGATTAAATGGGATGGAAGAAAATGAAAATGATGATATGAATTAATAGCATCAGTGACTAGGTAATTGGTTCGAATAGATGATGTAATTAAGTGAATACTGAATTGGAGAGAATCAATATGGTTATATTAAAACTAATGGAGAAGATTATTCATCTACCATACTGATGTGGAGAAAGAAAAAAAAATATAACAGGTCTATGTTTGGAAGACTATTTATCTATCTGTCCGTTTGTCTATTCATGTATATATCTATTGATCTATTTACATCTTTTGATATTTGTTTAACTTCCCTTACGAAAACTTCTTGAGAAAAAAAAATCCTAGCAAACACGCAAAAGACTAAACAATAACAACAACAATATTACATAAAATAAAAAATAGAAAACCAAAACTTAAATATGAATAATAAACGAAAAAAAGAACACAAAAACAAAAGAAACAAAAAATAAAACAAGCACATTTCTCACCTCCACGAAGACACACTTTCTCGAAGAAGTTGAATCCTTGCTTGGGAATGAGCGATCGACGCCTGTCCTTCGAAGTCCTGTCGTACGATTTGCAACTCGAGGTGCTGTAATCTGGCGGCGGAAATTGCAACTAAATGGTTAACAGGTGAAACAGATAAGTGTGAAAGACAAAGGTTATAGATCACTATGGTAAAGTATGGTTGCGAAAAGGGTTAAAAAATACGGTTAGGATAACTGGTTAACGGTTAGGATAAGTGTTTAACGGTTAGGATACGTGGACAGAAGAAAGGGATGAAGAAGAGAAAGAAAAGGAAATGAGAAGAAATGACTATGCAAATTAGTTGAGGCGAGGGCTAGGTCCAAGGAAGGCTGAAACTGACATCGAAACAGTTTATTCAACTGCGTTTTCTTGTATATTGTTAGTACATCGTTTATCATTTTTATGAAAATAGTATCCATGGACAGGAATGGTCAAGCCTAAACATAATTAGCAGCACTCTTGGGACATAAACGCCAAATTTCGTTTATAACCATTGCCTCAAAAGCGTATAAACTAGTTTTCGAATCGGAGCACGTGGTAATTTTATGACATATAGCTTCCTAGTTAATGGCTTTCCATTTTTATAATCAACGGATATGTAATCATGCAACAGTTCACTTCCGTACTTGAAAAAAAAATATAGGCTTCATGCTATTCAGAAATCACAGGATGAAATATTACCCATCATGCTTCCGAAATAACGGTAGTTGATTTACGAGATTAAATTTTCCATAATTTGATTTAGGGAGAGAACAGGAAGTAAAGGAAGATGTTTTATACATGTCATCCCTCGTGTTTTTTTCCCGCCAAAATTACGGTGCAGGGGAATGGCGGGAAGCGAGCGACCTTGATGCGTTTTTTTTTTTTTTTTTTTTTTTGGTGGGGGGGGGGGGAGCGCATTTGCGTGACTCAGTTACGGTTCTAATTAACTGCTGGGTAATAACAGCCTCGAATTCACACCATGTACGCTAATCAAGATAATTTGCTGGGGGCTATCTTCTTTTACTTTCTCTTTCATTCGTGTTTTGTCGTTTTCTCTATTCCGTTAATATTTTCCATCTGTTCTTCCTTTGTGTGTTCTCCTTTTCTCTTACTCCCTTTCTCTCGCACTTGTCGCGTATTCACACACACACACACACACACACACACACACACACACATATATATATATGTATATATATATATACATATAAGATATCTTTTATTTACCATACAAGAACACAAAAAAGAAGCAAGACTGGAAAAACGGAAAAAAATACACATACTTTCATCCGGGATCCTTGACTCAGCCTTCGTAGCGGAAGCCAGAGTCGGGCGGGGCTTCGCAGAAGTCATTCGACCGTGTCTGAGCAGAGATTCGAACGCGGACTAGGGGGTAGGGGGAGGGGAGAGGAGAGACCCCTGCTCCTCATAATCTCGCTCTCTCTTTCTCTCTTTTTCCGTATATTTATTCATAATATACAAATATATAACACCCGTGAGTGTGTGTGTGCCTCCGTATGTACGAACGTAAGGTATATATGTATGTGTGCATGTATGTATGTTTGTATGTAGTATGTATGTATGAATCTATTTATGTGTGCAGCTATGTACCTATCAATCTGTCAATATGTAAGCAAATATATACATATACATACTTACGCAATATACATATATATATATATATATATATATATATATATATATATATATATATATATATATATAATTTATTTATTCAAATGTATATATGTATGTGTGTGTGTGTGTGTGTTCGCGTACGTGTGCGTATAGCATGTGCTCGCGCGTGCTTACGTGTGTACATCCAAAATTAAGGTAAATCACCATGATGCCTGAATTAGCATAGCATTTTGCTTACGATCCGTGTACTAACAGACACTCAAGGATACGAAATGACAGAGCCAGTGCCATTATCATCGTACTTCGAGTGCCATTCCACGCCATTGCTTTTAATAACAGCATCCTCGACAGCGTCACACTTACTTAACATAAAAATTACAACGCGAAATACATGACTGACTCTTCTGTTCTGTAGGGATGTTATATATGTTTCACGTAGATGGTGTATACTTTGTTTGATTATAGTGTATGGTGAGAAAATATGTAAGGGATTCGTTGAAGGGGATACGGACGTCGTGATAATTTCAATGGGCGCCATTTTGTTGAGTGGGAGTGATTTTTTTCAATGAGGGGATACGTGCTCATTCAGTAATCTTAAAATGAGACAATTTCTTGGAAATATATATTAGATTGTTATACGAGGAGAGGGATATTTAGATGGAAGGCTTATAAATAGCATGGTGGTTCTTAATCACGCTGATATCAACGAATCTAGTCTTTATGAAATACGCGATATAGATAAAGAAAGATGTAATAGAAAAACAAAATGAAATTCATGTATACAAATTTTAGGATATAGTATTACAAGTGTTATCTCCACCATTAAAGGAAAGTGTTAAAGAAAAACAAGAAGAAACTCAGTAACATATATATAAATTTTAGGATTTAGTATTACAAGTGTTATCTCCGCCATTACCATGACTGACACTGTAACTTTTGTCTATAAATACCCCGGTTTTGGGCGGGGATGAAATAGAGCCGATGGAGCGCGTCCGCAAGGCCAGTCGCACCTCCGGCTTCGGCTTTGGTCATGGCTGGTAAACATTTGGGCGTTCGGAAAAGCAGCGAGCGTAGCTACAGAAACGCATCTATATGTAAAATACATCGTTACGGTGTAGCTAGAAAGCGTAATTTAGTGCGTTCTTGCGTTATCAGTTTGATTCGTTGTGATCGGGTCGTAGTTGTTTGCACTTATTTTGATACGTTTGCGATAACGGAAATTAATTAGGGAGGATTTGTTTGTCCGCCATATTGCATTCAATATTTTTACAGCAACTCTGAGTATAAATCACAAGAGAATATCTTTCTACCAAACGATTAATCTAAACACTCAAAAAAAAAATCAAAAGATAAAATAAACGAATTTGTATAGCTTAACTTTATATTGCATTCAGTATTTTTACAGCTACCATGAGTATAAATCACAAGAGAGTATCATTCTACCAAACGATTAATCTAAACACGAAATAATTCATTCATAAGATAAAATAAACGAATTTGTATGAACTGACTTTATCTACTTTTGAGATTTTTTAAAAATAGAGAGTTAAGAAAACGCTGTGATTTAGTGTTGCCATTTACGTCTCATTACTTTTACTCTCTCCCCTTCCTCTTCCCCCTTCACACGTATATACACATGTACTTTCTATAAATGGCGTTCAGTTTTTTATTGTTTTTTTATCTATTCATAGCTGTTATGTTCACTTTTTTATCTTATTTTTCTTTCTTATTCTTCCTCTTTTTCTTCTTTTCTTCTTTTCCTCCTCCGCCTCCTTCTCCTTCCCCTCCTCAATCTTTTCCTTCTCCTTTTCCTTCTCCTTCTTCATCTTCTTCTTCTTCTCCTCCTCATCCTCATCCTCCTTTTCTTTCTCCTTCTCTTTTCTTCATTTCCTTTTCCTCCTCCTCCACCACCACCTCCTCCACCTCCTCCTCCTCCTCCTCCTCCTCCTCCTCCTCCTCCTCCCCTCCCTCCTCCTTTTCTTATTCTTTACAAACATGGCTTAAAATATAAACATTTACTTCCAAACATTCATCACAGAATGACCTTTAAAGTATTGTTTTACACGAATCTTTCTCGACCTCCCTTATCACTCTCCGTATATTGATAAAAAAGAGACAAAAAAAAGCCATAAACAAAATGAAAAAGAAAAACACTTTTTAAGCTCTTATCCTTCCAAACGGAGAGTGAAAGTGACTCCGCCCACTTCCTTCCGCGTTTTTATAAGATGAATTCGTAAATCCGGTTCTCGTTTTTTGTAAGATTCGGAAATTCGTCAGTTGAATGGCGTTCTTCTGATCTGTTTTTTTTAATTCTGTTTTCTTCATTTTATCTTTTTGTTTGTTTTGTCTCTTTTGTCTCTTTCGTTCTATCCACTTTTCTTTAGAAAAAAGTAATAGACAATGATATAATGGACTTTATGTTCCTAAAAGACGTTTGCGTAATTAGATATCTACTACTAGTAAATATACCTGAGAGTATGTTATGCAAAAAAAAACTAATAAAATGATAATGATAATAATAAGAAGAAGAAGAAGATGAAATAATAATTATAACAATAATAAAAATCATACTATTGATAACAATAATAATGCATATTCATTCAAAACACATAACTTCTATTCATCCACACTTAACTTACCTTTTTAAACCTGTTTATCATATTCACTCACAGACACACAATCTAATGATAATGATAACAAGAAGAACATTTGTTGTAATTATCGTCATTATTACTATCATCATCAATCTCATTACCGTAAATACTATTAATGATATTAATGATACTATTAATACTATTAATAATATTTCTATTAATACTATTAATAATATTACTAATAGTAATGATATTAATTATCATTATAGTCATTCTCATTATCATTTTCATTATTGTTATATTATCATTATCATCACACTAATGATGATAGTGATAATGATAATAATAACTATAATTATAACAATGATAATTAAAGATATAATAATAATAATAATAATAATAATAATAATAATAATAATGATAATTATAATGATAATGATAATAATAATGATAATAATAATAATAATGATAAAATAATAATCATAACAACAATAATAATAACAATATCAACAATAATAATGATGATGCTAATGATACTAATAATAACAATAATAATAACAATGATAATACTAATACTAACAATACCAATAACAACAACAACAACAACAACCAAGACACTCACCGATAGTAAACGCATTGCAACCCGGCGTGCCTTTGCAGATGCTCGTGCATTCGCTCGTCACAGCCGCGTCTTGCTTAGCCAAAAGGGGCTGAGAATTTTCGTTGAAGTCCACGCCGACTGTCTTCTCCATGGTGATTGTCCCGCCGAAGCACTGGGCTGTGAGGAGGAGAAGGAGGAGGAGGATTAGAAGGAGGGTTGGAGGAGGAGGAGGAGGAGGAGGAGGAGGAGGAGGAGGAGGATTAGAAGGAGGGTTGGAGGAGGAGGAGGAAGAAGAAGAGGAGGAGGAGGAGGAGGAGGATTAGAAGGAAGGTTGGAGGAGGAGGAGGATGGAAAAAGGGAGGAGGAGGAGGATTGGAGGAGGAGGAGGAGGGTTAGAAGGAGGGTTGGAGGAGGAGGAGGAGGAGGAGGAGGAAGAAAAGGAGAAGGTGGGAGGAGGAGGAGGATTAGAAGGAGGGTTGGAGGAGGAGGAGGAGATGAAGGAGGAGGAGGAGGATGGAAAAAGGGAGGAGGAGGAGGAGGATTAGAAGGAGGGTTGGAGGAGGAGGAGGAGGAGAAGGAGGAGGAGGAGGAGGATTAGAAGGAGGGTTGGAGGAGGAGGAGGAGGAGAAGGAGGAGGAGGAGGAGGATTAGAAGGAGGGTTGGAGGAGGAGGAGGAAGAAGAAGAGGAGGAGGAGGAGGAGGAGGATTAGAAGGAGGAGGAGGAGGATGGAAAAAGGGAGGAGGAGGAGGAGGAGGAGGAGGAGGATTAGAAGGAGGGAGAAAAGGAGGAGGAGGAGGAGGATTAGAAGGAGGGTTGGAGGAGGAGATTAGAGGAGGAGGAGGATTAGAAGGAGGGAGAAAAGGAGGAGGAGGAGGAGAAGGAGAAGGATGATTAGATTTGAAGGAGGTAGGAGGAGGATTAGAAGGAGGGTTGGAGGAGGAGGAGGAAAAGAAGGAGGAGGAGGAGGAGGATTAGAAGAGGATTGGAGGAGGAGGAGGAGGGGGAGAAAAGGAGGAGGAGGAGGATTAGAGGAGGAGAAGGAGGAGGAGGATTAGAAGGAGGATTTGAAGGAGGAGGAAGAAGAGAAGGAGGAGAAAAGGAGGAGGAGGAGGAGGAGGATTACAAGGAGGGTTGGAGGAGGAGGAGGAAGAGGACTGGAGGGAGAAAAGGAGGAGAAGAAGGAGGTGGAGGAGAAGGAGGGAAGAAGAGAAGGAGGAAGAGGAGGAGGATTAGAGGAGAAGGAGGATTAGAGGAGGAGGAAGATTAGAAGGAGGATTGGAGGAGGAGGAGGAGGAAGAGGAGAAGTAGAGAAAAAAGGATTAGAGGAGAAGGATGGAGAAAAGGAGGAAGAGGTGGAAGAGAGGGGTGGGGGGAAGTGTCGGGAGGAAGAGGTGAGGGGAGGAGGGGGAAAAAGGAGGAGGAAGGGGAGGAGGAGGAGGAGGAGGAAGGAGAGATGGAGGAGGAGGAGAAGGAGGAAGAAGAAGAAGAGGAGGAGAAGGAGAACTAGAGGGGGTGTTGTGCGAAGAAAGGAAGAACAAGGATGAGGAAGAGAGGGAGTGAATATTGACAAAAAAAATGAGGAGAGGGATGTCATAATCGCGACGAAAAGTGTGAAAAATGAGGAAAAAGGAATGAGTCTGTTGTGAGGAAAGTAGTGACAAAGAGAGAAATATTAATGAGGAATGAGTGACCGCGAAGAGAGGAAGAGAGAAATAGAAATTAATGAGTTAATGAGGATCCACGGGCGTAAACCAAAATAATGAGTTGGAGAGCAATCATGAGGAATGAATGACTGTCAGGCGGAGTAGATTTATGAGAAATTATGAGATTATGAGTTCATTTCGCCTCATCACATACGACATATCAGTAAACTACGTGTGAGATTTGAAAAAAAACATGAGATATTATGATCTGTCTCTGTCCTATGAGAAAAAAAAATATTTCTATGGCAGTCAGATGAACCCATGAGCTAATTCTTAGATATAAATAAAGTGAAATTAAGTAATTTAAAAGCCATTATGTCGGTAATTAGGAATTCTGTGATTTTAATGAGGGTGCGGTTATGAGGAGGCGGTGGATTTAATGACCGGATAATTGGAAATAATTAATCAGAAGTGATCCAGCGGGTTTGTAACGTAAGCGAGCTGTAGATGAACTTGTCGAGGGAATATGATGATGGTGATAATAAATTGTATGAAAAGTGATCATATATATATATATATATATATATATATATATATATATATATATATATATATATATATATATATATATATATATATATACATATACATAAATAAACATATACATACATATATGTGTGTGTATGTGTGAGTATATATATATATATATATATATATATATATATATATATATATATATATATATATATATATATATATACATAAATAAACATATACATACATATATGTGTGTGTATGTGTGAGTATATATATATATATATATATATATATATATATATATATATATATATATATATATACATACATAGAGAGAGAGAGAGAGAGAGAGAGAGAGGCAGACAGACAGACAGACAGACAAAGAGAAAGAAAGACAGATAGACAGACAGAGACAGACAGACAGGAGACATACAAACAGACAGAGAGACGGAGAGATGTGTTTGTGTGCATATATAACAAAATACAAAATGACTTGCTATCATGAAATAGCCAAGTAAATACTTACCACGAAAGGCATTTCTATCTAAGTCACAAATATTCACTAGTGTCAATAAAGAAATGTGCATCTAAAAGGGGGAATTTTCGAAAATCCGTAAAATACAATGAAAACACCAAAACAGGGATGATTTTGTCCTAGAAAATTATAGATGTTTTTTATAAACGATGTGGTTTTGTGAAAGGAAACACAAATAACTGACAAAAATATGAAACTGAAATACTGTTAACGGAAGAGTGAAAATGTGGTAAATCTTGTCATAATAAGGAATAAATTAGAGTAACGAAAAAGGAAGAAAAAAAGATGAAATTATTTTTTTTTACTGAAATAGAGAAACGCAAAAATGGTGTAAAGAACGGAAAGTAATAGAAATAATGAAAGAAGGTAATTTAAAAAAAAATCAAGGATAAAAAGCATTCTATTTTTTTTTCTCTCTCTCTTGTTTATATTCATTTTCTTTCACTTTTTTTATGAACTTTAATTTTCCCAATATATTTCCTCACTTGTTATTCTTTTCTCCATTAATTTATGTTATCCTAAGCGGGAAATATTAGAAAATAAATTATCTCCCTCTCCTTTCCCTTTTTATTTATCTGTGTTTGTTATTTATACATTAAATTTCTATTTTATTATTGTAATTACCTATCTATCTATTGATCTAATTAACTTCTGCCTGATTAATTATTTAATGGATAATTCTCCATACTTCCATACAACTCATTAGATATTCACAAATTAATTATAATGTAATTAATCCAGGTTAATGATCTGGTCCATACGACATGACGACCTTGTGTTCGGGAGGACGTGGGCGGAGCTGATTGGTTGAAAAAGGAGCGTGATAAGTCCCGCCCTTTTCCCGTTCCACCAATCAACGCCCAGGATTTTAAGAGCGTCTTTATGTCACGTGATTTGTGGTTCGAATAAGGATTGAGCTATTCGTTATTCGGACAATGAGGAGGCTAGGATGTTTTTTTTTCTCTCTCTCTCTCTATTTCTTTCTTTCTTTGTTAATGTTGGAAATGGGGGGAAATCCCGAGAGGATGTGTGAAATAAATGCGAGATAAATGGTAATAAATTAAAAATAAATAAATGAGGAAAAGGAAAAAAATAAAATGACGTATCATGCTGGACACATGCAGTTATCAAAATGCAAAAACAAAAAGTGAAATAACAGTAATAAAATATTTGTTAATTCTAAATTAATATGCGTCGAACATGAATAAGAAAATAGAAAATGTGAAGAGACTACCGAAAGAGAGAGAGAGAGAGAGAGAGAGAGAGAGAGAGAGAGAGAGAGAGAGAGAGAGAGAGAGAGAGAGAGAGAGAGAGAATGAAAGAGATCTAAAAAAAGAAAAGAAAGAAAGAAAGAAAGGGAAACACAAACGAACACTAGAAACAGCAAAGGATAAAAGAGAAGAGAGAGATATCCAAACAGACATACCGAAGATGATAATGAAGTTAGAAACAACAACAACAACAACAAACAAATAAATCTCACCATTGCAAACACAACAATGAATTAACAACAAAAGACTCGCCCAAGGTCTTTGAAAGTATATTGCAAGTCAGTCATGCAGTGCAACTTTTTTCTGAAGAGATTTTTTAAATATTTCAAACTCCATGCAACTTTTTTTCTTTTTTTTTCTCTCATTAGCCTCGGTGAATTTTGCTTTCGTTTTGAAATATGAAAAATGAGAGGCATTTTATTTCAAAGCCTGACGTAAAATAAAGAGAATTATCTCAGTTTCGTAGAATGATGATAATATTATTGATAACTTATATTTTAATAGTAAAATAATAATGATAATATTGATGAAGATAGTAATAATGATCTTAAAAATAATAATAACAACAACAACAACAATAATAATAACAGCAATAACAATAATAACAAAGATAAAGGTGATAACAATAATAATAATAATGATGATAATCATCAATACCATTTTTATTACCATTATCATTATAATTATTACTATCATCATTATCATTATCTTTATCATTACTTATTATCATAATTATTAATAATATAGTTATCATTATTATCGTAATCATTATCATTATTATCATAACCATTATTATCATCGTTATCATAATCATTGTTATCATTAGTATCAAATCATTGTTATCATTAGTATCAAATCATTAACATTGGTATTATTATAACCATTAGTATCATTATCGCCATCATAATGACCACGATGATATCACCACCGGAAGGGATGAATCGAAAGCCAAAATTCCCCAAGAGCCGAGAGCATCCCCCCCACCCCACCCTGCCCGCCATCTTACCCCAGCGGAGGAACATCCTTCCAGCGGCCGAGAGGTCCTCTTGGGTATCCTGCTGAGGGAACAAGTCTAGGACCTCAGGCTCCGTTTGCCCCTGGGTCTGGCGGGCCTCCTGCAGGTACTCCAGGCGAGGGGAGAGCGCCCGGAACGTCGAGAAGTCCTTGTGAATCGCGGGTCCTTCGCCTTCGTCTTCGCCTCCTTCGTCGTCGTGGTTTAATCTCACGGCTCTTTCGCTGTGGGTCTTGGTGGGACGGCGGGGGGCGGGAGGGGTCGTTGTTGTTTCTTCTCGTTCTAAGCCTCCGCCTCCATCTCTTTTTCTTCCTTCTATTGGTCTTGCTCCTTCCCCTGTTCGTTCTACTATTCCTCCTCTTCTTCTTCCTTCTTCATTCGCTCCTTCCCTTCCTTTGCCTTCATCTCCTTCACCTACTTCGGGGCGTCCTTCCTCGGACGACATTTCCGCGTCCCTGACCGCCCTGGCCTCCCCCTTCATCGGCGACAGCGACGACGGAATCTGAAGGCTGGGGATGTCACCGCCGCGTCCAAGGCTGGAGATGTCACCGCCGCGTTCAAGGCTGGGGATGTCACCGCTGTGTTCAACCGAGCCTGGAGACGTCGTCGGCGCGGTCGGGAAGCCTTGCAAAGGGGCTTCTTTCTGAGGACTCATTTTCCGGTCCATCTCCACTTCCGCCTCCGACTTCGATGCTGTCATGTCCCTCCCCGGAAAATTGATCATCGCGGACGCCGTAATACCATCACCATTTTACATCGACCATCACCATAGTGTCATATCACCATCAACGCATGCACCGCCGCGTCGTCAGTGAAGCACCATCACCAAGAAGGAGATAGGGACGCGTTAAAATAGATTTTAATAGACTACAAAGACAGTAAAGATGAAGATTATAATAGAGTTTATGATAGGTTACCAAGAAAAAACGACGATACCTTAAAACGATTCCTTCATAAAGCATCATGACTTTCCTTGCTAAAAGTGACGACCACCGCCATAGTCCTATTGAACATTCCAAAATCATATCCAAGAGACAATAAAATCATCCAAATTACAACATAGAAGGATTTTAGAGAAAGACAAATGCCTATCGTAAAATTGTGTAACAACGTGTCACATGACGAAACCTGCATTACTGCGACTGACAGGCATAGAAGTGATTGACAGCTGAGTGAAAGCAGGTGACCCTACCCCCCCCAGTCCTCCACCCCTTCCCCTCCTACACCCCTCCTCTCCGACCCTCACCCCTCCCCCCTTTCGCCATATAGAGAGTCTTGAATCTAGAAACTGGAAACGCTCTAGTTAAATGCGCAAAGGAGAGAGAGAGAAGAAGGGGGAAAGGGGAGGGGGCAGTGAAGGGAGAGGGAGACGAGGTGCGGGAAAAACGGGGAAAAAAGAGGTGATTTGAGGAATAGAAGGAAGATTTGAGAAGCAACAGAATTTGGAGAAAAGGGAGATATTAAGAAAGAGAAGAAGAAGGGAAATGGGGAAAATAGAGAAAATTATTTGGAAAGTAATATAAGAGTATAGGCTGCGAGGAAGTGACGAGAATGTGATAAAATGTCAAATTCACAGAAATCAAAGAAACCTAAAAAAAAAAAAAAAAAAGAAAAAAAAAAGAAGGAGAATAAAGATACAAAATAATTTTAAAAAATCAAGTCAGAAGAAATCAGATCTTAAAACAAAAAAAAACCACGAATTTCTCCATCCCAGAAAATCTCGGCCCTGGGACGTCTATGCCAAAAGGTGGCTGAAGGCGAGTGACAAAAAAAAAACTCTATTATTTGTCACTGTCAATACTATTCTGGAAAGTGTACAGTGAAGTGTACATTTTAGCCCACTTTCAAGGATACGCACTTTCAGTATTTCAGTTTCACATAGAAATTCCCTCCCAGAAATGGTTTCCTATATAGCAAGGTTAAAGTGGTTTGAGATAAATGACCAAAACATTACTATTTTTCACTGAAATGTACATTTATTTTAGTACCAAGGATACGTAGTTTTTAGAATGACACAATCTTTGAAATTTCCAAAAAGGAATTCGCTCTTTTTTCCGGATGACGTAATCGATAATAAACTACACAAGAGTAAGGGGAAAACAGGAGTGCCAATACGGAGTGCCAAACTCACCCGAACTCAGGCTGGGCAGAGCGGCCAGTGTTGCCACCATCATCACTTTCACCAAACCCGAAATCTGTAGAAAAAAAATAATTATTAGATATAAGATTTATGATTTTATAAAACAATATCGTTGTTAGTATTGCTATAATCACGGATTTACGTGATCTTATCAGTACTATAACGGGGCATGGATTAAGTACAAAAATGTAAGTGGAATTATTTTAGCAAAGAGAGAAACTGGAATATTGCGTAATTATAATTGACATCATTAGCAATAATCATAAGTGTAATTAATTCGTAATTCTCAGCTCTTATATTTTGTCAAAGGCCTCTAATTACCAGTAATGAATGGTCAAGTGAAACTACATCTAGCAGAACAAAATGGTGAAATGATGAAAGAGGAAAAAAAAAAACACATTAATAATTCACGCTTTAGGCTGCACAACATTCCACTGTTCTGAAAAAAAAAAATACAGCCATAAAAAAAAATGTTATGCACGTTTCCCTCACTTTTCATTTTGCGTAAGATGGCCGTCTGGTCGAAAACACGTTGACAAATGAAGGTGTTTTTTTCGGTTTTAAGAAACTCTCTAACTACCCGTCTGTCTATTCAAGTGTGTCCTACATTCGTCTCAGTAATGTTGCAGCAGTTGATAAGCTTTCAGTACTTTCATCCGTTAATCAATTTTTTACTAATTCTCTTTTCTTTAAAAATAAGGACAAAAAAAAAATCGTTAAAACCGTTAGTCATTGAAATTCGAATTTCGAAAAAAAAGTCCGTTCACTATGATGTAAACAAACTTTCAAAAATCTGTTCAAGAATCTCTCCGTCTTTCCACATTCCATTCCCCATCTGTCGCTTTTTTATCTCCTAAAGGGGTGTTGCCTTACCTAAAACCTCAGTCACTGGCCTATACCGTTCATCATCCCCTCCTCCTCCTCCTCCTCCTCCTCCTCCTCCTCCTCTTCCCCCCTCCCCCCTCCTTGTCGTTTGTTTCCCCGCCTCCATGACTGAGTTAAATACCTCTTAATATTACTTCAATCTCCCTTCCGCTTCTCCTTTCTTCTCCTGCTTCCGTATCTTTCTCCTTACTTCTCTTTTCTTCATCTCTTCCCTCTAATCTCTCTTCTCACCTTCTTTCCCCTATCTTTATTCCCTATTCTCCATTCCTTACCCTACTTTCATCCTCCCATACGTTAAAACGGTTTTCTGGCGACACACGGATGACCAACGGCTATAACGACCCAGACGCACGAGCCGCTCTGATTGGCTGGGCTGAGATTGGTCGACGGGGTTTGAGAGGGAGGCCGGACGGGTTTCGTGAAGACTTTAGGTCTATTTTCTTTTAGTATTTTCTTTTATTTTTTCTTTCATTCTCGTGTTTATCGCTAACTTATTCATTGATTTATGTATTTTATATCTTTGGTACATGTGTTGGTGTGTTGTTATTTATCGAGAAACTTTGTGTTAGATGGATTTAAGCTGGATGTAAGAAATAATTCCATAGTAGATTCTTCTTCGTTACTGATGCATAGTTACTTTATGCTTTTTTTTTGTCTCTACGCTTATGTCAGTTCTTTCTATAACTAAATGAGACCTCTTTATCTCTCTCTCTCTCTCTCTCTCTCTCTCTCTCTCTCTCTCTCTCTCTCTCTCTCTCTCTCTCTCTCTCTCTCTCTCTCTCTCTCTGTATCTATGTATGTGTATTTACCTCCCTTTCTCCCAATACTCAACGCGATTTTTTCTTTCCAAATAACACATTTTGTATACATACTTTCAAGGTTCTCTATCTTTGTAACGCTTCGACAATCCATATCCCCCCCCCCTCTCTCTCTCTCTCTCTCTCTCTCTCTCTCTCTCTCTCTCTCTCTCTCTCTCTCTCTCTCTCTCTCTCTTCCACAGACACACATACACTCTCTTTCTCTTTCTCTTTTGTCTACTTGTCTCTTCATGTCTCTGTCTGTCTGTGTCTCCCACCCACCCTTCTTACTACTTCCCTCCCTCCCTCCTTCCCTCCCTCCTTCTCTCCTTCCCTCCCTCCTTCCCTCCCTCCTTCCCTCCCTCCCTCCTTCCCTCCCTCCCTCCTTCCCTCCCTCCTTCCTTTCTTCCCTCCCTCCCTCCCTCCTTCCTTCCCTCCTTCCCTCCTACCCTCCTTCCCTCCCTCTCTCTCTCTGCCAGAAACCAGAAGAAGACAGCCCCAAAGACGTTTTCGGTCGAGCGGCTGTCGCGTTGTCAGTGACTGCTCTTCCGCTAAGCTTCGCACGTGACAGACAGCGAACGTGTGGCGGATACTGACGACTGTTCACCCTTTTTTGTTCAGTTGTTCAGTTGCGAGGTTAGTTGTGGTAAGTTTGCGTGTTTTAATGTGTTTGGAGAGTGTCTTTGTCGTTTTCTTATTGTTTACTGGGAGGTTTGATAAATCTGTGTTTATTGTATAGGCTAACGTCTGTGTTTGTCTATCTGCTTATTCATCTGTCTGTGTATCTATCTATCTATTTATCTACGTATCTATCAGTTTATCTATCATTGTCTATCTTTGTCTATCTATCTATCTACTTGCTTTGTCCGTTTG